TCTGTCTTGTCTAAGTCATTGTTATTTTGATTTTCAACTAAGGCTAATTCTAACTGATACACTTGAACTGTCTGTCCTGATATGGGTGCTGTGGATTTTGAAGACATGAATAAAAGATTGTAAAGTGCATAATTAATAATTTTATATTGATTACATATGGAAAATGGTAATATTTTGGATGCCATGCTGTGCTAAGTCACTTCAGTCATGTCCGACTCTGTGAGAACTTCTGGACTGTGGCCTGCCAGGCTCCTCTGTCAATGGGATTCTACAGGCAAGGATACAGGAGTGGGTTGCCATGCCATTCTCCAGGGGATCTTTCTAACTGAGGGATTGAACCTGAGTCTTTTATGTCTATTGCATTAGTAGGTAGGCTCTTTACCACTAGCGCCACCTGGGAAGCCCAATATTTTGGATATACTAAATATATTGTTTCCTTCCACTTTCAAAAATGTGACTACTAGAAAACTTTAAACTACATGTGTGGCTCACATTTATATTTGGATAGTACTGCTTTGCTCTGTCTTTGTATTTGCACTGAAGAAAAGATGAGACACCTGAGGCTAAGACGAGTCATTCATCTTGCCCAAGTCCCCAGGTCAAGTCAATGGCAGGGCTGGATTCAAGCCCAGAAACACCTCGAGCAGCCCCAGGGCTTCCACCATGACACCACAGTGCTTCTCAACTGGTGTCACTGGGTTCTGGCACAGGAGAGAGGGTACTGTCCCAGACATTCACTTTTAAAGGCAGGAACTGCTGGCTGCTTGAAGAGTTTTACTGAGTTTTCCTCAAAATACATTTATAATCTGATAAATTTCATAGTCTTATTTCAAATTTTTTATTTTCCAGTATATAAAAACAGAGTAAAATTCACTGAAAAAGTTACTGAAACACAATTTACTGAATGATTCTGCTATCTTTAATTCAGAAAGAAGACAGTTAACTTGACAACTTGATCATAAATATGCTCCACACATGACAAGGCTGGAGACCCCCGTGGCAGATCTTTTCTTTGACATTTCTGGAAGCTTAAGGTCTCTAAGCTCTGTGACCCAAGGTGCCCTGTGGATTGGAGCCTAGGTGATAGCATGTGCTGAATATGGCACATGTGCCCTTATCTTGGCTGTCTGCAGATCTGGCTGCCCAGGACACGGCCCAGCAAGTTCAGTATTATTTACATCTTTTCTCACTGACCTCTTGCCCACCTCTACTATGATAAAAGTGGTAGGCCTTCCCATGTACTTATTTTATGGAGGAGGGACATATATTTTATTTGGAGATTGCCAGGCATTCCCAGCTGCTTTGATTTCTCCCTAAAGACAACTGTAGATGGGAACACCCAGCCCAACTACGGTAAAGAGACATCAATCTAGCTACTTACTGTGGGGACCCAAAGACTGCCCTTGCTTCAGAGGGCTTCCATTATTCTGCCTCCGTTTCAGAACAGATACAAATATTTTTTTGAGGTTCACAAAGACACGGCAGCCACAGTTACCAAATGAGCCTGGATGTGATCATTTTAATCTCTTTCTCTCTTTATAGAACTGCCACTACTGGCCAGGAATGATACACAAAATACTTAATTGCCTACAGAGCTACAGCATGAAGCTAACAAGCTGCTCATTAATGCACCCATTGAGTTCTCTCTCCTTCCTGTAGATTCTGTTCCTGGTTTAGAAGCAGAGTTAACAAATTTTTTTCTAAGAGGCATATCAGTCCTATAGCAGTCAGCTCTTTGAACATTTAACTTCATCTTCCAAATCATTACAGAAAACACTTAATGGCTCTGCGCCCAGACCTGACCCCTGCAGATCCCATTTGTAACGACCGTCAAAGACAGATGGATCACCATAAGCAAGTACTTTTTCTCATTCAGCTTCTAAATATGAGAGTGGTTGGGCACCTCGGGGTCATTAGACTTTTCCAAATTAAATTCCTTCGAAGACATATTTCACTAATGCAGTGGAAGAGCAGTATGCCCCTGACAGTGTATGCCAGGCTCAGAGGGACAAAATTCATGCTCACGTGGGATTTGTCAAGGACAAAATGAAGAGACAGCTGCCAACTGGTTTCTTTTTCATTGTCATCCTGTCCACTAAGCATCAAAGAATGATGCTTAAACCTGCTTCACATTGTAATATGCTGGCTTGTTTTCTTTTAAACTAAATAAATCTACATGCAGTTTCTAGTTCCTGAGGTAACTTACTCTAAGCAGGCTCTCTCTATGTGTTCTTTGCTTTAGATCAAGTTCTAAACAGTTAATGTAAAAGTGTGCAGCTGTTGGTTGCAAGATATCAGGGCATCAAAGAACTTGTAATAAATTGGAGTTTTCAGCCTCACCTATAAGAACATAGGGGAACTTCCCTGGTGGCTCAGATGGTAAAGTGTCTACCTGCAATGCGGGATCTTGCCTGGAAAATCCCATGGATGGAGGAGCTGGTAGGCTACTGTCCATGGGGTCGCAAAGAGTTGGACACGACTGAGCAACTTCACTTCACATAAGAACATAAATGTGGTTGTAAAAATATACACATACTGCAATAACCGAAGGAAAACATGTCGGCTTAGACTCTACTGAAAAGCAACCAGTTTGTGACCTTGTCTTTAAATCAATTCATTAAATTTCCTTCATAGAGTCTGAATCCAAGGTTCAAATGTGGGGAGGGGAGGTGGAGTGGCAATTACTTTTTAAAATCTCCCATGATTCTTATATCTTGTCTGTCCCTCTGACTGAGAATTCAACATTAAACAGTTCTCACACAAAATGTATTGACATCAAGGCAAACTCATCCCCACTTATACTCGTGAAGTGCTTCCTTACATAGCATGTGTATTTGCTGCTAGTTGCAGACCCAGATCACATTAATAGAAATCCAGTGTGATCCGAAAAGGAATCAGACATCTCTGGTTTTACAGCTGTCTGGAGACAAAGGCTGTCTACCTGCTGAATTTCAAGTACTTCCAGATTGTGTCTATGACTTATTTTGGTCACACTGTTTTTTCCCTAGATGGGGTGGGGGAAGGAGGAGGGATGAAAGCATCTAACAGTGCTAAGGCTCTCAGGCCAGCCTGTCATAGGCCTTTATTCTGGGTATAAGAAAGGGAGACTATCTTTAATTTGCTAATTTTGCCTGAAAGCTATCAAGAGAAACAGAGAAATAATTTTATTTTTTTAAGTTTGCTTTTCAATTAAGATATTTTTCTTCTTATTATTATTTTTTTCCCTGACAAGCGTTTATAGCGTAGTCAGGTCTAAAGCTTAGTTGAGTTAGATTTGGGGGTAATGAACAAGGTTTCCAATAGTTGTGAAAGGGGGCTGTGATAAAAATACCCAGAGACTGAAGGAAGTGTGAGTCCAAGTTCAAATCTAGAGAAAAACACAATATAGAGAAAATACATAGAGAAAAACACACACTTTCAGTGTCATTTGTTCCTAGTGTTCAATGGCTTGCTGACAGTGTGGTAACAGGAAGTTGTCCCCTAATATCCCTTTCCCCTTGTCTACAGAATAATGGGACTTTTAATTGGGCCCACTGGCTCTAAGAAAAAGAGATATTTCAAGCCTTGGTTGTAGCTTAGGTATGACTGAATTTTGGACAGAAAAATATGAGGAAGTAATACTACTAAATTTCTTAGAAGTGTTCTTAAAAGAAGGATGTATGTTCCTTTTTTCTTCTCCCCACTAGTTGGAATTCAAGTGGTGATGGTGACAACTGAAGCAGCCATCTTGGGCTGTAAAATGATTCTGGGAATGAATAGCTGTGTGATAGAGCAAAAAGAGAGATTTATGTCCCTAACAATCATGGAGGACCTTACCACCCTTAGTCCCTCTATCTGGACATTCACATAAAGAGAAGCAAGCTTCTGTTTGTTTACATGAATTAGAAGAAGGGTGGGATTGAGGGAGGCAATATTTTTTATCATTCACAGTAAAATCCTTTCCAAACTAATACAGAAGGAATTAGATAGATGCACAGAAGAGGGCTTCATATCCTCATGCTATCCTTTTGAAGTAGAAAGAGTTTAAGCACAATCACTATTTCACTTGTGGAAAACTCCTTCAGAGAGGTTAAGTTCTTCCTTCCATCTTACTTCTATTTGATTTCCTGTAACTTCTTTCCAACACAGGTTTCCAGCAGGTGTAGTCCTCATTTTTGAACATTATCACACTTCACAGTACCTAACTATATTTTGCCTTTTGGTAGACTGTGGTAGACTTTTCACAGACTGTAGACTGTGAAAACTTCAGGATGGAGAATGTCTCTTTCCTAAACACTTTTCCCACTTATGCAAAACAAAGCATCACATTTCATGGAATTCACTAGATGTCCAGTGGTTAGGACTCTGAGCTTTCATTTCCAAGGGCCCAGGTTTAAGTCCTGGTTGGGGAACAAAGATTTTACAAGCCAAGCCACATGGTGCAGCCATGAAAAAACAAAAGCAACACGCCATAAGCTCTATAATTGAACTAATTTGGAAAACAATTTTGAACCCCACTCATTTAGACATTCTCTTCTTTAGAGAAAACATCTCCATAGGAGATTGACTTATAACACTTTCTGAAATAAGGACTCTTTAACTTGAGGAGGGGGAAGAGGGAATTTTGGGGAATCCATCAACTCTGCAATGCTTTGTATATGGGAATATGAGCTTTCATCTGGAGGGAAGGTCCAAAGTTTTCATCGAAATTTCAAAAAATTCATGACACCCCTTCCCCCACTGGCTTATAGCAAAAAAAGAAAAAAGCAGACAAGCATTGGCTAAAATGATACCCTATATGATAATAAAATTAGTTGTAAGATACAGGTAAGGAATAAGGCTGACTTAGACAATTCAGTTTATAAAGAAGATAAATCTACATATAGATCTATACATTTTCTATATATATAACTAATTTTTTAAAGCAGGCTTAACTTTCTCTCCATGGTTTCAAGGAGTGAACTTGAAGCCCAACCAAAGAGGCACCAAACTGAAAAGACAAAAAATAAATACACTGAGAATAAACTTAAGCAATGCTTTATTGTGACCACAAAGCACCAGTTCAATATGGCATTGACACACAGAGACTGAACAAATGTCTCTTTGAACAGAGATGGAGCAAGCCCACTTTTTCAAGTTCTTAAAAACAAGTACTCAAATCAGAAATCAAACAAAGCATTGGAGCAATTAAAAAAATATTACACCATCATGAAGGAATATATATATAGAAAAATATTCTGTACTGGTAACAAGGCTTTTTGATCTATAACTCTTGGCAAATTTCTTCAGAAACAATTATAAATACAAACCATAATATGAAAAAAAAAGTCTTCTTCAGAAACAGAGAACCAATTTAAAAGCAGATCTATGCAGAAAATACCATTAACCCCAATGAAAGCTAACTGAAGATAGATGGATATCCCCAAAACACAACAGGGTTTCTCTTTCCAGAGCTACAGTTCTGCTCCTAAAGGGGCCATGATGTACGTCCATTTCCAACATGGCAGCATATCCCAGTGAAACCTTAATAAGGTCAAGTGGAGGACCCTCTATAAAAAAGGGTGTTGGCAATTCCATCCAAATAACACAAGCTCTAAGGAGCAGAGGACTTCAAGGGAGATGCAATCCCTTTCTCTTTTATCCCCCTCCCCAAGTTTTCTTGCTTTTGATCTTCCCTGTTTCAGTCAGTTACACCTGTAACTGGAAGATGCTCATTCCATTCAGTTCTTTTTTCAAGGAATTTGGGAAAGTAATCTATGAAGAAAACCCTCCTTGTGGGGAAGGGTATCTAATCTCATCAAAGACCACTCTATTTGACTAGGTCAACAAGGTAAGCCATCCTGTTCACATGTCCTCACTCCTGGCTGAGTTCAGGTTAGCTGATGGATTGCCTAGTCTATCCCATAGGATAACGTTTCATTTGATTGAAATTCTTTACATATACACATGTATGTATTCTGTTTACAAAGTTTCATCACATGAAACCAAATTCTGTCATTATGTATTTTTTGAGGTCCAAGACCCCAATTTGACTACTAGGAAGAGTTGTGCTTTAAATGCTTTGTCTGCAGAGGTTTTACATGATACTCGTAGATTTTCAGAGCAGGCCCCAGTTTTAACTGAAGTCCTGTCAACACATCATTTCTTGTCATCAGTAGCAGGGATTTTCCATCAATTTCCTATAATGGAAGCAGAAAGTAAAGCCAACATGTAAGTCCAAAAGTTCAAGGATAATGAAGAAAAACGGAAGGTCAAAGGAAGACGTTTTTGTCTGCACACTAAAAATATTACTATTTCTTTTTAAACTAGTGCCCCAAATGTAATCTTCTATTTTTATCTTCCATTCACCATTTATTTTGGAGTTAAATATAATCTATAGCTGATCTTGTTTTCAAGATCACATCACAAATGTCACATCTTAAAAAACTGACAGCAAGCCTGGAGTATGTACCCTGAAGGATCAGAGACGAAGCTTCTGAAAGGAAGAATGACACTTTGCATTTATAAAATATTATTGAAGTTTAAGAAGAATTTTTGCCTATTTAATTCCAAAAATCACTCCATAAATTAGGACAGGCAGGAATTATCAACTTAATTTTATAGGCAAACCAAGGATAAAGGCAAAAAGTTAGCTTGCCCAGAAGCTACGAAAGAATGGCACAGAATTTGAATTCCCATCTGCCTACAGCCAAAGCCCATGTTCTTCTCATAACTCACTTGTTTCTCTTGACACTCAGAAGTAAATATGTGTTGTCTAGATGGACCCATGGGGACCAGAGGCAGGTTTTCTGAAACCTTTTCAATCAGAACAGTGGGCATTGGAAAAACGACTTTCCGAGAACTTCTTTCCTGCCCTTTAAAAGGAGAACCATCCTGCTTCAACCCGAATATCAATTCTCATGCTACCTACTTCGTCTTAGTGGCGCCTCAAGAATCCAGATAAGGCAGCGAGGGGCAGGGCTGTGCCCACCGGAAATTCCCTTCCGGATTCTCCTTACAGTCCACGGCCCCCCTCCTCTCAGGTACCCAACCCCGCAGACTTCTACTATGGAGACTACAAAACTGAAATGACATAAAAACAAGCTTCTTGTGAAAGAGATGAGGACCCCAAATATAGAAAGTAGTTTGAAACCTTTGGAAAAGAAGCACTGAGAAGAGTGCTGAATACAACCTTATCTTTGTCATTGTGAGGTGACGCTAAGCTGCTGCTGCTAAGTCCCTTCAGTCGTGTCCAACTCTGTGCGACCCCATAGACGGCAGCCCACCAGGCTCCTCTGTCCCTGGGATTCTCTAGGCAAGAACTCTGGAGTGGGTTGCCATTTCCTTCTCCAATGCATGAAAGTGAAGAGTGAAAGTGAAGTCGCTCAGTCGTGTCCGACTCTTCGCGACCCCATGGACTGCAGCCCACCAGGCTCCTCCATCCATGGGATTTTCCAGGCGAGAGTACTGGAGTGGGGTGCCGTTGGCTTCTCCGACGCTAAGCTAGTTCTAAGGAAACCTGGGTTCATGGCTGGACCAGCTGCGCATGCTCAGTAAACTCCGCCCAGCTGTACGTGATTTTACCCGCCCCCCTCCCCACCACCAACGGGCAGACAAGGAGACACCGTGCGCACCTGCAGCTCCGTAAAACTGCGACTCCCTCCCACACTGTCCCCAAGAGGACCATTCCTCCAAAGCCTCTCATGCATATCGCCAGGCTGTGAGGAAGATGTGCTCTGAATGTGTGACTGTGTGGGAGAAACAGCACTGAAGAAACACCCACTTTGTGACCTTAGGCAAGTCTTTTCCGCTGCTATCTCCTCAGCTGATAATACGGAATATTGAGTTTTGAGAGGAGGATTTCATGAGATACCATTCTTGCCAGTGCTCCCTGAGCTATGAGTTACATCATCACTTGTCAGTATTCCTGGACAGATCAGGGCCCTCATTTTACAATTATTTAAGGACATAGGAACTGACTTTCCAATCTTAATTATTTTCTGTTTAGGCAGCTAGCAATCCCAAAGACTGTCCATCAGCAAAACCTACAAGCCTGAGAGTTGGTAAATGACCCCTGGCCCCTGGAAACTGCAGCAGCAGCTCTGGGCATTGTGAGGTCACAGGAATCTGAACCACAGGTTACAGCAAAGCTCATGCTCTCCCTCATGCCCTGAGATGAGTAGGGATTCGCTGGGGATGCTTCACACAACAGCAAAGGCTTCCCTGCTCTCCATTTTTCCTTTACTGCTGTTTGCCTGTACTTAACTCACCACCAGGCAATGGCACCCCACTCCAGTCCTCTTGCCTGGAAAATCCCATGGACGGAGGAGCCTGGTAGGGTGCGGTCCATGGGGTCGCTAAGAGTCGGACACGACTGAGCGACTTCACTTTCACTCTTCACTTTCATGCATTGGAGAAGGAAATGGCAACCCACTCCAGAGTTCTTTCCTGGAGAATCCCAGGGATGGGGGATCCTGGTGGGCTGCCGTCTATGGGGTTGCACAGAGTTGGACACGACTGAAGCTACTTAGCAGCAGCAGCAGCAACTTACCACATATTTTAAACAGGCACCAGGAAGAGATGACACTGCTTTCATTTCTATACAAGAAAACTTCCTTGACTAACTGAAAATGAAATTTTTTATATCTTTGTTGGCAAAAAGTCCTTCTACAACTCAGCATTTCTGTCAAAAGCCAAGTACGTCTGTGCAAAATGCTGAAATTTGGATTTTATTTAAGACAAAATGGAAAATTATGTTTCACGCTCCAATTTGATTTTCCTTTGTTTGGTAGCCACACTGCAGTTCACCTCGGATGAGGGTTTGTAAAAGAAAACTCCATCTGGAATTTCTCATTTAAAAATTTTTGAAATGAATAGAATTCATGTGTATAACAAAACTTAAACCATAACTATTGCAGCTCAACTGAAAGGGAGTGGAGATGGCATAATGGAAGTGGGATCTTTCAGGTCAAACAAACTGCAGTCTGAACTCTGTCTCCACAGCTTATTGTGTGGCTCTGGGTAAGGGACCTAACTTCCCTGAGCCTCAGTTTCCAAGCTTATAAAATGGAAATAAACTCCTGAAGGATTTGGGAGGTTAAAAAATGATTCATATAAGGCACCTAGCACAGTGTCTGACATACAGGATGTTCTCAATGATTACTAAGTGGAAAAGTATAAGCTTTGAAAGAAATGGGGTGTGTTCCCATTCCAAACCCATCTTCTGCTTCCTTTCTGGAAGTGTTCTCCCTGCCTGAAAGCTACCCTTTGCCAATGGGATGCAGGCATATTCTTGTTCAAGTTCAGAAAATCCAGAGATTAAAAAAGTTCAAACACTATATAAAAATGTGTCTTATAAAAATCACAAACATAGGAAAGTTCCCTATTTTAGATAAGATTAAGAAAGCTAATCATTTGTTATATAACTTCTATAAAAGCTTGCAAGGCAAATGAAGCCCAAATTTTGCCAGTCAGCACAGTATACTAGGATGGCATGAGACTGGAAATCAGAAGACAGAGGTTTCTAATGCAGACTCCATCAGTAACTTTCCACAAGGAAACGCTCCTCTGGAGTGTAGTTGTATATAAATGAAGGAGTTGGAGTGTGACCAGATCCAGTTAGACAAACAAAAACATCCCATGATTTTGTCTTAATCCAAAACAAAAATATAATTCACACCTTGGGATTTTTGTTTTTGTTTCTGTGTTAAGTGGTAATCCTTTGTTAGTTTCAGTGAAACTTTTTACATTGCTTCTATTTTCTTGTTAGAATAACCAAGTGCCTGCTGGGCAATAAGACTCAAAATGCTTGTCTACTTAAGTTCCTGAAATACCCATGCATGGAAGTAAGATTCAGAGATGACAGGTGTAAAGTTCCAATGAGGGCAAGAACCTAGATCTAAAAATAAATGAGTAGAATCCATATATGTTACAACTCAGTAGATAAGCCTGTATTTTAGAGTAAGACACTATCTTATTGCTTATTAGGTGGGGCCTGGGGCAAGTTACTTAATCTCTCTAAGCCTCATTTCCTTATTTGTATGATGGGGGAAAGCAGTACTTCACTGCTGAAAAGATTATTGAGATAACACATGTGAAGTGGAATTCCTGACTTCTACTGAGCATTTGATAAAATGCTGGCTATTTTAAAAAATATATTTAAGCAGTCTTTACCCATTTACTTTTCATTCTAGCAACATTAAATCTATATATAGGTGACTCTTTCAACTAAGCCTAATTGTAATTGTGATACAGTCCATTGGAAATGTATGGAGAGAAACGAGATGAGCTCAGAAGAGAAGAGGGCCATCAAGACAGAGGCAACGGCTAACAGGAAGGTAGGATAGAAAAAAAGAATTCAGGAAGAGAAGTTAGGGTGATTTGTGATGGTAGGATTCTGTACACCTCTCAGAAGGCCATATTTGTGGTGGTCTCTACTGTCCCAGATGGAGTACAGGGGGAAAGAGGTTCAGTTTAGAAGCAGAAGACTTGGGCTGGAAGTCAAACTGTGGCTTCCTAGTTCCTCCTTGTGGAGCATTTGGCCCATCAGTCCTTTCTTCTGTGAAATGAGAAATCTGGACCAAGCAGACCCTGCCCTGCAATGCAGGAGACCCTAGTTCGATTCCTAGGTCAGGAAGATCTGCTGGAGAAGGGAAAGGCTACTCACTCCAGTATTCTGGCCTGGAGAATTCCATGGAGTATAGTCTATGGGGTCTCAAAAAGTCAGACACAACTGAGTGACTTTCACTCACTCACTCAGACCCTGTCCATTCCATTTCAACACATTCTCAGATTCCAGTTCTGTCTGGGATCAGCACCAGACACACCAGCCTCACAGCAAAGTCTTCCTATGAAAGAACACGGCAACAACTCCTTACCCATGGCGTGGAGGAATCTAATGAAATAGGTGTTCTTTTCCCATTTCGGTCTTCTGGCTCACATTTTCTAGAACTTTCTTTATAACTACTTTCTTGCCATTCACTACCTGGCTGTAAGTGGTGACCAGTTTGAAGTTTCTCATTCCACCGCTTATGAAGGGAACAAATGTCTTGGAGGAAGGGGAATTCGGCCCAGAGCCCAGGGATCCAAAAGTAGAAAATCCTGTGTCCAGGATGGGGGTCACATCAAAGAAGGAGGAGCGGAATCTCCTGGCCCCTCCCACACTGTCAGTGGGAAAACAGTCTCCTGAGAAGAAGTCTTG